CCCCAAAACCCCAAAACCCCAAAACCCCACAATTAGGAAGAATTTATATTTTTGAATGAAAACTAATTGAAATTAATTTTTGAATTATAAAAATGATAAGTGGATTAGCTCGAACATAAACGCTTTCTGCTAAATAGCTTGAAAAAGATTAGAAAAAAGAAATGGAAAGAGTTGAAAATACAATGAGATCTCCGAAACAAGGATTTGTAACAAATGCAAGAGACAAATTTATGACAGAGGGGAGATCCTCCTCTTAGATTCAAGATGCAAAAGCTTAGCAAATTGTGAACGTAAGTACTTATTTCGTCTTAGCTCTGTTTACACCAATATAATATTCGTTATGTGGAAAGTTGATGAATAATATTTTAGATTTTCAAAATGCAATCGAAGAAGAAAGATAAGACTGAAGACATTCTCAGGAAGCACGGTTATCTTCCTAAAGATGTAGATGAAGAGATGGAGAATATTCAGTTGACGAACGATTATTTTAATAAAATCAAGTATTTGGAATTCGTAATCTTCTTCTTTGCTTGGGTTGGTGTTGGATCCTCTATTGTTGAATATGAACTTAGATATAATTCTGAGTTCACTCATACTATGACGGAGTAAAAAAGAGTCTAGCTTTTGATAATGCTCTGTATAAATGCTTTATGCACCATATGCGTTGTGTTTGCTATTGTTTCAAGATATTTATTGACTCTATAATGGTAAATTGAGAAGAAGCTTTTGCTACCATTGGATAATCTAATTACAACAAAGTACTATAAATCAATGATGATAGAGATTTTCTGCAGCATTCTGTCTCCTCTACCAGGCCTAGAAAATATGACCTATATCGAGGATTATTCTGATAGAGAAGTAACAGTTGAGCTCCGTATCAATGTACTTTTATTATGCACAGCAATGATTATTCGACTGTACTTAATAATTAGATTCGCTCTCTCATTCAGCAGATATAGAAACTCCAGAATGTAGAGATTATGCATGATTAATGGTACTGAAGCTACATTTATGTATTCGATGAAAGCTTTCAAACAAGATAGACCATATGTATTTATCTCTGGTTCCCTAGTTGTACCTCTAATTGTCTGTGGCTACGGAATGAGAATGTTTGAAAGACCGCTAATCCCTGTTTCAGGTCAAGATTTTGATTCATTAGGAAACTGTATTTGGTGTGTGATTATTACAATGGCTACTGTAGGTTATGGTGATTATTTCCCCATTTCAAATTTCGGTCGTATTGTAGGAATCCTTGCATGTTTATGGGGTGTATTTATAGTTTCAATTTTTGTAGTCACTTTAAATAATTTACTTGAGTTTTCCAAACAAGAGGAGAAAAGTTACGATATTCTTTGCAAACTTGCATTCAAAGAGGATTTAAGAATGAAAGCTGTAAACGTAATATTGAGTGCTTAGCGGTAAAAAGTAGAGAGATAAAAAGATGATCTTGACATAAGTAGATTGGCTGTTGTTTTCCGTGATTTTAGGAAAAATGTATTCTCACTAAAGTAAGTATCAAAGAGAGTCAGAGCGATGTATGAAGATTATAATGAAGTAGAAGTAGTTACCAAGGATGTAGAGGAGATTAATTAAGAAGTAAATCTACTTATGTCGACATAAGAAGATGTTTTAAATGAATTTAGAGAATTGTCAAAATAATTCGGAGATGTTGGAGAAGATAATTCAATCGTATCCGACGAGTAAGAAGTGGATGATAATGAATCTAACTCTTTATCAGAATTAGAAAAGTAAATGATCACAGTTGATAATTGAAAATCTTGCTTTTGGATCTTGATCTATTCATTCCCTCATAGAATACTTAGAAATATTAAAAACTTACATTATAAATTATAATTTCTTAAATCTACTTATTTCTATTAACTTATTCTAACGGGGTTTTGGGGTTTTGGGGTTTTGGGG